GAGTGGAAGCAGGGCAAACAGAACAAGCAGCACACAACTGACCTTGTGGAATGCGTGTGCCCTGGGGCTGGGAGCAGGTGAGATATGAATAACATAATGGGCTCCACTCTCTGTGAGCTTGCTGGGTTCCTGAGAGCAGGCTGGCAACAAAGAGTTGCCTATATAATACTTCCAGAAAGAAATGAATCTTATATCCATGTTATTGTAGAAGAGTGAATGTCACAATAGACTCTAAGATGACCCCAGTGATTTCTACCTCCTGTTGTTCCTGCCTTTGTACAATCCTCTCCTTTTGAGTGTGGGTGAGGAAGGCTGTGCCTTGATTCTAACACACAGAATATGGCAAAGGTGATAGGACATCACTCTGTGGATCAGGCGTCCCCAAACTTTTTACACAGCGGGCCAGTTCACTGTCTCTCAGACCATTGGAGGGCCGCCACATGCTGTGCTCCTCTCACTGACCAACAATGAAAGAGGTGCCCCTTCCTGAAGTGTGGCGGGGGGGGGGGGGGGGGGGGGGGGGGAGGGCTGGATAAATGGCCTCAGGGGGCCGCATTCGGCCCGCTGGCTGTAGTTTGGGGACACCTGCTGTGGATTGTTAGGTTATATAGATTTTAGCAGATTGCAGAGAGACTCTCCTCGCTGACTTGATGAAATAAGTAGCCGTGGTGAGGAAGTTAGTTTAACAAGGAATGGAGGGCAGCCTCTAGGATCTGAGTGTGGCCTCCAGGAAAGGTTGAGTGAAAGCCCAGATCCCTTGTCACATAGCCACAACAAAATGAATTCTGCCAACAACTTGAATGCATTGGAAGTGGATTCTTCCCCAGTTGAGCCTCCAGATGAAAACACAGCCCAGGTGACACCCTGATAGCAGCCTTGTGAGACCCTAGGCAAAGGACCAGTTAAGCTATGCCTGGACTCCTGGCCCATAGAAACTGTGAGATAATAAATGTGTGTAGTTTTAAAACTGCTGACTTTTTGTGGTTATTTGTTATGCAACATAGAAAACTAATATAACACACACATTAGCCAGAGTTCTTCAGAGAAACAGAGCCAACAGGATATAGATAGAGAGAGGTATGAGAAAGATGTACTAGGGGGATTGGCTCACATGTTTATGGAGACTGAGAAGTCCCACAATATGCCATCTGCAAGACGGAGAACCAGGGAAGCCAGTGGCATGGCTCAGCTCAAACCCAGAGCATTCAGAACCAAGGAAACCGATGGCATAACTCTCAGTCTGGAGCTGAAGGACTGAAAATGTGGGAGCAGGGAGGGGGTTGCTGCTGGTGCAAGTTCTGGAGTCCAAGGGCAGGAGAAGAAGGGTGTCCCAGCTCCAGGAAAGGAAGAGAGAGAGAGAAAGAGAGAGAGAGAATTCACCTTTCCCTTGCCTTTTTCTTCTCTCTAGGCCTAAGCCAATTAGATGGTGCCTGCCCACACAGGGTGAGGGCGGATTCTCCTTACTTAGTCTATGAATTCAAATGCCGGTCTCTTTGGCAAGCACCCTCACGAAAACACCCAGAAATAAAGTTTTACCAGCTCTCTGGGTATCCCCTCATCCAGTCCAAAAATTAACTGCCACAACACATAAGCAAAATGTCGGTATACTGAGGGAGGAAGATATTTGGGAGAGATCTAGGAAGGCTTCATAGAGGAGGTAGCATTTGTACTCACACAGGAAGAGTGAGAGGGGTTTAAACAGGTAGAGGTGGAAAGATGAGCTACTGCCTTGTGTCCAGCGTCTTCATTTCCCAATCTTGGGCCTGAGAGGCCTCTGCAAGGACACATTTTCCAGCTGGGCCCAAGCAAGTTCACAGAAGGAGTCCTTCCGTCCCTGTGCCCCAGCTTGCTGTGGATAACCTGACCAAAGCAGGGAGATCCCAGCTCCCCACCCCCGTGTATCCTGTGTCAATCACTTCAGGTGGAGTAGAGGTACAGCAGCCACAGCTGGTCTCCTTTTCTTTCTTTCTTTTTTTTTTTTTTTTTTTTTTTGAGACGGAGTTTCGCTCTTGTTACCCAGGCTGGAGTGCAATGGCACGATCTCAGCTCACCGCAACCTCCGCCTCCTGGGTTCAAGCAATTCTCCTGCCTCAGCCTCCTGAGTAGCTGGGATTACAGGCACACGCCACCATGCCCAGCTAATTTTTTGTATTTTTAGTAGAGACGGGGTTTCACCATGTTGACCAGGATGGTCTCGAACTCTCGACCTCGTGATCCACCCGCCTCGGCCTCCCAAAGTGCTGGGATTACAGGCTTGAGCCACCGCGCCCGGCCTCCTTTTCTTTCTTTCTCTCTTGTTGCTCAGGCTGGAGGGCAATGGCATGATCTCAACTCACCACACCTCCGCCTCCTGGGTTCAAGCGATTCTCCTGCTTCAGCCTCTTGAATAACTGGTATTACAGGCGTGCACCACCATGCCTGGCTAATGTTGTATTTTTAGTAGAGATGGGGTTTCTCCATGTTGGTCAGGATGGTCTCGAATTCCCGACCTCAGGTGATCAGCCCGCCTCAGTCTCCTAAAGAGCTGGGGTTATAGGCATGAGCCACTGCACCCAGCAGTCTCTTTTTCAAAAAAAAAAAAAAACTATCCTCTTTGATTTTGTAAGCAACATATAGTCATTTTGAACAATTTTTTAAAATAGCAGGTAATGGAAAGGGTGCGGTGGCTCACGCCTGTAATCCCAGCTCTGGGATTACAGAAAGTGCTGGGATTGCAGGTGTGAGACACTGTGCCTGGCCCGTTTTCTTGCTTTTCCAGCCTCTTTTGTAGAAGCAGGCAAGAGGACAGGGAGTTGAGAATGGAATTGGATCTGATAATGCTTTTTTCTTTTTTCTTTTTTTTAGGTGGAGTCTGGCTCTGTCGCCCAGGCTGGAGTACAGTGGTGCAATCTTGGGTCACTGCAGCCTCCACCTCCTGGGTTCAAGGGATTTTCCTGCCTCAGCCTCCCAAGTAGCCAAAATCAGTGTGTGCCCCCATGCCCTGCTAGTTTTTGTATTTTTAGAAGAGACAGGGCTTCACCATATCGGTCAGGGTAGTCTTGAACTCCTGACCTCAAATGATCCACCCACCTTAGCATCCCAAAGTGCTGGGATTATAGGTGTGAGGCACCAAGGCTGGCCTTGTTTTTTTTTTTTTTTTTTTTTTTTTGAGACAGAGTCTCACTCTATCACCTAGGCTGGAATGCAATGGTGCGGTCTTGGCTCACTGCAACCTCTGCCTCCCAGGTTCTCCTGCCTCAGCCTCCCGAGTAGCTGGAATTCCAGGCGTCCACCACCATGCCCAGCTAATTTTTGTATTTTTAGTAGAGATGGGGTTTCACCATGTTGGCCAGGCTGGTCTCAAACTCCTGACCTCAGGTGATCCACCCGCCTCGGCCTCCCAAAGTGCTGAGATAACAGGTGTGAGCCACCACCCCTGACCTGGATCTGATAAGGTTTTAACAGGCATGCAGACCATCACTCCTGTCTAATTTATGTGTTTTTAGTAGAGACAGGGTTTCACCATGTTGGCCAGGCTGGTCTTGAACAACTGGCCTCAACTGATCCATGTGCCTCAGCCTCCCAAAGTGCTGGGGTTACAGGCATGAGCCCCTGTATCCAGCTCCACTTGCTCCCCTTAACAGCCCTATCAGATGGGTACCATTATTCCTATTTTAAGAATGAGGAAACTGAGGCTCAGAGAGGTTAAGTTACTTGCTCAAGGTCATCCAGCCAGTAATGTAAGCAAGAAATAAGCGTGTGTTGTTTTCAGCCACTGAGATTTTAGAGTGGTTTGTTACTGTAGCATAACCTTCTCATTCTGAGATATGTATGCACATATATTTGATATATGTTATATATCCTATAGATTATATATATACATCTATTTATATGTAATTATATATTATTTATATAGATTATACAATTCGTATAAAGTGTCTATCAGTGTACAACTTGACCAAGTGTCCAAGGCCCTGCTGGGGAAAGCAGAAATATGGGCAGTGGTTCCCTCCAGATGAGTTAGGGGACCTGAGTGTGGCCCACATGCAAAGGAAGAAGGCAAACAAGGGAAAAGCCAGGGCGGGGCAAGCGCTGGCTTTAAGCTCTCCTGGGAGCATCCAGCTTAAGTGCACCTGCACCCAAATGCTGGTTCCATAAATGAGCCAGCTTTTAAGTGTGGCCACATCCCACCAGGCATCAGAAAAAGCTGTTGCTGTATAGACAGGCCCCCAGGCTAGGCGTGGGAGCTTTCCGGGACCAGCAGGTTGCAGCTCATCCATTGTGCCTGCACGCTCACACTCACACACCCCAGGGCACCAGGCACACACTACATGTCCCCAACCCCGTGCCCCTAGAGGGTGATGGTGATGGCGTGAGGCTCAGAATCAGACAGAAGGTTAAATTCAGAGCTCTCAAGATAGGAAAGATGCAACCTTCAGGAACACGAGAGTGTCGCCAGATCAGGACCAGGTGTATGAGTGTGTGATGTGTGTGCATGTCTCCGTGTACTGGTGCAGGTTAATGTAGGAGGGGGTTCCCTCTGGCTGTTGAAGGCTTATCTTGGAAGCCCACAAACTCCGCATCCACCCAGAAGCTCTCATATGTTAGCACATCCATGGTATGACTGGACCCCCTCAGCTGTGTTGACCAAGAGCAGTGCACAGCCTGGATAACCGTACATAGCAGCCCCGTCAAGAGCCCATAGTTGGTCAGCTCTGGACAAGAAGCCAGCCCTATCTCCTATATACCTCAATTCCACAATTGAGGGCAGAATCCAAAACCATTGTGGGTCCACTCAAATCAGGAGAAGAAGGTCATAGAGGTCATAGGATCAGAGCAGCTGCTGGCTGGCACCCACTCCATGGTGTTAAGAAGGGATTAGGAGATTGCAAACTGTGTTAAAAAATCCTCTCACCTACAGCTCAGGGCTGTAATCCTAAGGACTCTGCTTCTCTAAGCCTTGTTCTATTTTCAGCTCTCTTCTCCAGGGTACACAGTCTTCACTGGGGCTGCAAGGATTTAGTGGAGACTCTTATCACCAGTTCTCTGGCATCTGTGAGTTTGAGTGTAGGCCATCAAGTTCTCCTTCTGTTCTCTTCCTCTCCACACTTCTGGGCACCATCCCATCCATCAGAGCCTTCTTCGCTCAGGCCTGGAGGACTCAGGCCTGTGAGACAGGACGGCCCCATTGTCGGCCAAGACACCTTTGGGCAAGGAGCAGTGAACAGGACCTGTCCATCTCAGGCATCAGCCCCCTGAAGGCCTGAGCAATGGGGAACGTGATGGAGGGGAAGTCGGTGGAAGAGCTGAGCAGCACGGAGTGCCACCAGTGGTACAAGAAGTTCATGACCGAGTGTCCCTCTGGCCAACTCACCCTCTATGAGTTCCGCCAGTTCTTTGGCCTCAAGAACCTGAGCCCATCAGCCAGCCAGTACGTGGAGCAGATGTTTGAGACATTTGACTTCAACAAGGTGAGCAGGGACCCAGTGGCAGGGTGGGGAGGTTTTTGGGGGACCCCCTCTGGAAGCCTGACCAGCTGGAGGGGAGGAAGAGCAGAAGGGAGCATAGAAAGTGTCGGCTGGGGAGCGACTTCATTTATACAGTCATTTGTTTATTTGAGACGTGGGTTTTTCACACTAGGGCTTCAACTGATCTAATGTTTGTGCTTTAATGAGCACCAACTGTGAATCAGGCACTGGGAGGTTAGAAATGAATCAGACGCTGCCGTTGCCCTCACCTTCTTTTTCTTTTTCTTTTCTTTTCTTTTTTTTTTTTTTGAGACAGAGTTTTGCTTTTGTTGCCCAGGCTGGAGTGCAATGGCACGATCTCAGCTCACTGCAACCCCTGCCTCCCGGGCTTAAGCGATTCTCGTGCCTCATTCTCCCTTCATGCCTCAGCCTCCATGCCCGGCAAATTTTGTTTGTATTTTGTCTCTGACAGGGTTTTGCCCTGTTGACCAGGCTGGTCTCAAACTCCTGAGCTCAGGTGATCCACCTGCCTCACCCTCCCAAAGTGCCGGGATTACAGGCGTGAGCCAACCCACCCGGCCTCTTGCCTTCACTTTCTAGGGCAAGACAGAGAGGCCCACAAATTAGTGTATTCAGAGGCTGAATCCAATGGCTTCCCCTGCCTCTGCCACAGGCATATCTTGGTTTACTCCAGAATGAGTGTGAACACTTCTAAGACGGTCACTGAGCACCTGCAATGTGCTGGTCCTATAGGTGGTGCTTTTGCAAAGACCCTTTGAAGCTCCCAAGGGTGTGGGTGGAGGGGTAGAGAGCAGTGAGGAAGATGCTGATTCTCCAGCCTCACTGTCTGGCATGGGCAGGCCACTCATAACGTTCTGTGGACAGCGGGCTGAGGACAGGCAGGGTTGCCTGGTGCTGGAGAATCTGGAATACTCCCAACTTCAAAACACCCAGTGACTTCACATCACCTTTTCTCAAGTGAGCCTGAAGGTCCACACAGTGGTCAAATTGCGTGTCTCCCCAGTAGCCACCTGGATGCATTGGATAAGGACTTTCTGATTGATACACTAAAGGGGTCACTGAAAGGCGAGTTTGGGACCGTGGGCTTGGGTCCCTAGCTTTCATCAGCTGGGTGACCTTGAGCCCCATCATCTTCCCTCTCAGTCTTGGGATAGTCATAATGTTGTGGATGTCAGGAGCATTAGTTGTTTGTTGGTTTTCATAGTAAATTTTCCATTCCTGACCGGGCACGGTGGCTCACGTCTGTAATCTCAGCACTTTGGGAGGCCGAGGTGGGTGGAGGCCGAGGTGGGTGGATCACCTGAGGTCAACAGTTAGAGACCAGCCTGGCCAACATGGTGAAACCCCATCTCTACTAAAATACATAAATTAGCTGGGTGTGATGGCGGGTGCCTGTAATCCCAACTACTTGGGAGGCTGAGGCAGGAGAATCGCCTGAACCCAGGAGGCAGAGGTTGCAGTGAACTGAGATCACGCCACTGCTCTCCAGCTGGGTGACAAGAGCAAAACTCTGCCTCAAAAAAAAAAAAAAAAAAAAAAAATCTCCCATTCCTTTGGAACAATTCAGTCACGATGTAATGGTGGAAGTACCCAAAGCTGCAAACGTGGCCCCTGCCCTGTGGCCCCTCACTTGAAAGGTGAGGACTCAATGAGGTGCTGCTGTGTGCCCTCCGCAGACCCAGGAGAGGCTCCTCCCCTCACTGCCTGGAAGGTTCAGAAACCATCATGGGTGAGGCTTCTTGGGAAAGCTGGGGCTCAGTGGCTATTTAAAACTCACTAATATTTGAGGATAAGGGACCAAAGTAGATTAGAGGCTTTAAGTTCCAACCTCAAGTGTGATATGAGGGAGCCTGAGGGCTTTCCCAAAGTGGGAGCAGATGAGCAGAGTCCAGAGTCTGTGATAGGGAGACTGGGAGGGACGGGGTCATCATGCTTGATGCCCAAAATACTCCTGAAGAAGGAATAACTCCTAAGCAGGAGGGGAAGGACGAATGGATGGCTGAGCCTCACACCTTACCCCCTAACACTGACATAGCTCATCTTCTTGCCTGCTATGAACACCCTTTGGGTAAAGACATGCCTGCGGAAGCACCCAGCGAATTACACATATGATGTCGGTGGTGGCAGGTGTTGGGGAGCCCTGTGGCACATGGACCCTGTATCTGCTTAACCGTGTCTTTTTTTGTTGTTTTTTTGAAACACAATCTTGCTCTGTCACCCAGGCTAGACCGCAGTGGCGTGATCTTGGCGATCTCGGCTCATTGCAACCTCCACCTCCTGGGTTCAAAGCGATTTTCCTGCTTCACTCAGCCTCCCTGGTGACTGGGATGACAGGCGCCCACCACCACACCTGGCTGATTTTTGCATTTTTAGTAGAGTCAGGGTTTCACCATGTTGGCCAGGCTGGTCTCAAACTCCTGACCTCAGGTGATCTGCCCACCTAGGCCTCCCAAAGTACTAGGATTACTGGTTTGAGCCACCTCGCCTGACCAACCATGTCTTAATGTGTGTCACATGCAAGCACCACCTGTTCTGTCCAAAACCTGAGCCTTCTCTTTCCACTGAAAGTAAATCAACCCCTTGTTTCCAGGCAGTCTGGCCTTCTCCCTTATGTCACACACACCCTACCTTAGGGCTTTTGTGCTGCCTGGGACCCTCTGCTCCCAGAATTCTGCTCGACTCACACCTTGCTCTGCTGCAAGTCTCTGTTCAGAAGTCTCCTTCTCACTACCTCCTGCCCTGATCTGGTTTAAACTCTGTTTAAAACCAGGACTGCATTTCCTAGCCTACCTTTCCCCCCAAGCACCTGGCATCTTCCAATACCAGACTTAATTAACATATCATCATTACATTTATTGCCTGTCTCCTGCTGGAATGTGAGCTCCATGTAGGCAGGGGTGTTTGTCTCGTTCACCGTCAAATTCCTAGTTCCTAGGACAGTGCCTGGGTTGTGGCAGGTGGTTAATAATATTGATTGCATGAGCGAATGAATATATGAGAAATCAGGAATTTAATGGCTGGTTATTTTATAATACACATTAATTTAACTCTGTAATTTTTTTTTTTTTTTTTTGAGACTTTTTTCGCTCTTGTTACCCAGGCTGGAGTGCAATGGCGCGATCTCGGCTCACCGCAACCTCCGCCCCCTGGGTTCAGGCAATTCTCCTGCCTCAGCCTCCTGAGTAGCTGGGATTACAGGCATGCACCACCATGCCCAGCTAATTTTTGTATTTTTAGTAGAGACGGGGTTTCACCATGTTGACCAGGATGGTCTCGATCTCTTGACCTTGTGATCTGCCCGCCTCGGCCTCCCAAAGTGCTGGGATTACAGGCTTGAGCCACCGCGCCCGGCAACTCTGTAAATATTAAAATGAAGAGTGACCTTGTAATATCCAACCTGCCTCATCTGTATCCGTGGTACACAATCACACTTTGCACAACACTGTCTTGATCCATTGTCACCAGCATGGAGCAGTTTAGCAGATTAGCTAGGAGATGGAACACGGGACTGGGAAATTCTGATACAGAGAATAGTTAAATAAAACAGGGATAGGAAAACCACAGCACACAGGCTTTTTTTTTTTTTTTTGAGATGCAGTCTTGCTCTGCGATCTTGGCTCATGCAACCTTTGCCTCCTGGGTTCAAGCAATTCTCCTGCCTCAGCCTCCCGAGTAGTTGGGACTACAGGTGCATGCCACCACACTGGCTAATTTTTTTCTCCCCCTTCTCACTTGTTCCCCACACCCAGCTAATTTTTGTATTTTTTGTTGAGACACGGATTTCACTGTGTTAGCCAGGATGGTCTTGATCTCCTGAACTTGTGATCCACCAGCCTTGGCCTCCCAAAGTGCTGGGATTACAGGCATGAGCCACCATGCCCAGCCACACAGGCCTATTTTTGTAAATGAAGTTTTATTAGAACACACCACATCTATTTATTTACATAGACAATTGTCTGTGGCTGCTTTCACATAAAATGAAAGAGGCTGTCTGGCTGTGAAGCTGAATATTTACTTTCTGGCTCTTTACAGAAAAAGTTTGCCAGCCCCTGAGCTACAAAGTGGTTGTATCCTCAGGTATTGCACCAGATGGTGCAGGTCTGGGAGTACAGAGTGTGAGCGGGGAGTGAGACCCGGGGGACAGGCCTTTGCTTTGCTTACTTCAGATGTTTGTCTGGGCTTGGGTTTGTCTGCCAATCAATCACACAGGTGCACACAAATCAATGTAAATCTTCATCTGCATTTGAGCACTGGTATAGGATGATTTAGGAGACCCAGTTTTGTAGGTGAGGCTTTGTCATTCACTAACTGTGTGGCCCGATCTCTTTCAACTTCGGCTTTCTCATTCAAACTAGAGACAAAAATATTCATCGCCTGGGGATGGCCGTGAGATTAAATGAGTAAAGTGAACAAAACACTCAGCCCAGGAAGTCCATGGAGAGCACTAAAAAACGTTAATATTGCTGTATATTTTCCTTGAATCGAATGCACACAACAGTTTTGAAAAGTGCACGTGTCATTACATCTTATAGCTGGGGAAACGGGGACTCAAAGTCATGTGACTTATCCAAGGTGCTTTAGGTCTTTTTGGCACAAAAATCCATACCTTTTCTATTGTCCCCCTCCCCTCCCCCTCCCTTTTTTTTTTGAGACGGAGTTTCGCTCTTGTTACCCAGGCTGGAGTGCAATGGCGCGATCTCGGCTCACCGCAACCTCTGCTTCCTGGGCTCAGGCAATTCTCCTGCCTCAGCCTCCTGAGTAGCTGGGATTACAGGCAGGCGCCACCATGCCCAGCTAATTTTTTTGTATTTTTAGTAGAGACGGGGTTTCACCTTGTTGACCAGGATGGTCTTGATCTCTTGACCTCGTGATCCACCCGTCTCGGCCTCCCAAAGTGCTGGGATTACAGGGTTGAGCCACCGCGCCCGGCCTCTATTGCCCCTTTTTAAACTTTTTTTTTTTTTCCTGCAAAAGCAATCTAGTTCATTGTAGAAATTTCCAGCATTACAGAAAGAAAAGCTGAAGAGCTAAAGTATCCTCACCAGAGGAAAGAAACCTCTTCAACAGTTTTCTTTCCTATTCAAACAGTGCTGTGTGGGGCCTCGGTGGGCTCCTTTCTGATGACAGTCCTGGGAGGTGGGCCGGGACTGAATGAGCCCACTGTGGGGTTCAGAATGGTTAAGGCCTTCCGGAGCTCTAGCCCCTCAGGCGGCAGGGTGAGAAATTCCCAAAAGCTCACCTAAACCACGCTCCCATGCCTGAGGGTGCAGTTCCTCCTCCCACCAGCGCACAGGTCTCCCATTCCCCCTACCCGGAAAGGCTCATGCTTGACAATCACAGGGAAGCAGGCAGCGGCCGCTAAAACCCAGATGCCTCCGAATAGGCAGGGCCAGCCATTCACACCCCAGTGGGGGCTGGCTTTTGGATTTGATTGGCAGCCTCTGCGGTAGGCAGGGTGGGCTATACAGGGCGTCTAGGAAGACAGATCACGGCGGAGACACGGCTGGCCTCCCTGGCCGCATCCCCGGGGGTCCGGGTCTTCCCTCAGCATCTCTTCGGACTTGCCGAGATGGGCGGAGCCTTGGGGTGTAATGGGCGGAGCCTTGGGGTGTAATGGGCGGGGCCTGAGGCAGGAGTGGGCGGGGCCCTAGTGGGCTCACAGCGGCTGCGCCCCTCGCCCAGGACGGCTACATTGATTTCATGGAGTACGTGGCGGCGCTCAGCCTGGTCCTCAAGGGGAAGGTAGAACAGAAGCTCCGCTGGTACTTCAAGCTCTACGACGTAGACGGCAACGGCTGCATTGACCGCGACGAGCTGCTCACCATCATCCAGGTGCAGAGGGGCCCGGCCAGGGCTGGGGGAAGCCGCCTGGGGTGGGAGCAGGAGCTGAGAGCCCAGGGTTGGAACTGCCATCCCAGGATTGAGACAGGATGTGGCAGTGAGGATCCCAGTGGCAGCTGTGGCCCTCACCAGCTGCGTGACCCAGGCCACCTTCCTTCGCTTCCTGGGCTTCAGTTTCCTCATCAATACCAAAAGACGGCAGAGGTTTGAGTCTTGAGTCCCAGCTCTGCCTAGGCCCCCCGGTACCCTACACTCTACTCCCTACTGCTGTTGGGAGCCAGACAAGCTCTGACCGTCCCCACTCCCACCCCGAGATAGGATTATGATGGCCCCTCTCACTTCTGCCTCTTCTTCCCAGGCCATTCGCGCCATTAACCCCTGCAGCGATACCACCATGACTGCAGAGGAGTTCACCGATACAGTGTTCTCCAAGATTGACGTCAACGGGGATGGTGAGGGGGCCAAGGAGGGGCTCCCCAGGACAGGGGTCACCATGGATGTGGGGTCACCAGGGGTGGGAGGTCACTAGGGGAGAGGGGCAGGAGGGAAGGAGGAGGCCCAAAAACCCCATGCTGGTCACCTCCTCCACATGCCTCTGCCCCAGCCACAGAGTTGGCTTTTAGGGTCCCCCGAGCCCGATTCTGGGCTCTGGGTGCCTCTGCCTGCTGCACCCGCAGGTCACTTCTCCCTGAGTGAGCTCTGTCCCTGCCCCTGGCAAGAACCCAGTTCTGTGCTCTGGACTGTAGACCTTGTGTGCTCTGGACTGTGGACTGAACATCTTCCTCCCCCTGATTCCCTTTCTCTCTACCCCAGGGGAACTCTCCCTGGAAGAGTTCATAGAGGGCGTCCAGAAGGACCAGATGCTCCTGGACACACTGACGCGAAGCCTGGACCTTACCCGCATCGTGCGCAGGCTCCAGAACGGTGAACAAGACGAGGAAGTGGCCGACAACGAGGCTGCTAAGGCAGCCGGCTGAACCCACTGCCCAGCTGCTTCGGCGCTAGCGGGCGGGGTGGTATGGTGGCGCCTGGCCTTGTTGTTCTCGTCTCAACCCTAGATAAAATCTACTCAACTCAGAGGCTTAGCTCGCCTCTTTGGGGTCCATGATGGCAGCAGAGGGGCAGGAATTGGAGTCCAGAGCCAGGAACAGTGAAGAATGGTTCCTGGCCCCTCCGAGTGACAGCTGGCGGTGGCACTCCCTGCTGGGAGGCAGTGTTCAGCATCCCTCTAATGTCAGGTGACCCCCTAGCTCTTCCGGCTCCTCTTCTAGCTTTTCCCAGATTTCCCTACTGAGCTTCTCCAGTCCATGCTCTTTCAGACATGAACTCTGAGCCAGAGCTGAGCTTTCCCAGGCCTCTTATGGAATCCTGCAGATCCTGTGGCTGCAGCCTCAATCCCAGTGCTGCAATCACACATCCATGCTGCCCTTGGGGGGACCCTGGAGCCTACTTGTGTGCTTTGCATTTCATTGATACATGCCTCCTTTCAACAAGTATTTATTGAGCACCTATTAAGTACTAATGTTAGATGTTAGACATACAAAGAAGACAGTTCTCATCCTCATGGAACTCAAAGGCTAATGGTGAGACACACAGATAAACAGCATTATAATAAAATATGCTAAGAGACATTATGAGCAGATTTCTGTAGGAGACACCTATAGGCATCTGACTCAGAGACAGCATCACAGAGGTGACCTTTGACTTTGAACAGGAAAGGGTGCTCGTGAGCTGAATGTGAAGAAGAAGGTAATGTGTGTGGGGTGGCTGGAGGTGCATTCTCTGTGATGCATGTGTCACATGTGGGGGCCTGTGTGATGTGGACAGGAGCATTCTTAGGCGCAAATTTGGGGTATCCTTTGGGATTTAAATTTTACCAAATTTAAAACAGTAAGAGTCACCATATCTGTTTTTAGGGAGTACCTCCTAGGGCCCCAGTAAGGGAGAACAAACACAACTCCTTTAAGAGATTTATAATCCTACCAACAAGATAAGGATGGGATGTTTTGCCAGGTGTGGTGGTAAATGCTTATAGTCCCCAATACTCCGGAGGCTGAGGTGGGAAGATTGCTTGAGTCAGGAGTTCAAGACATGCTGAGGTAACATAGCAAGACCCCTCTTCAAAAAGAAAAAAGGGGGCTGCGCTCGGTGGCTCACGCCTGTAATCCCAGCACTTTGGAAGGCCAAGGTGGGCAGATCACCTGAGATCTGGAGTTCTAGACCAGCCTGGCCAACCTGCTGAAACCTGGTCTCTACTAAAAATTAGCTGGGCATGGTGGCTCACACCTGTAATCCTAGCACTTTGGGAGGCCGAGGCAGGTGGATTGCCTAAGGTAAGGAGTTCCAGACCAACCTGGGCAACACGGTAAAAACCCATCTCTACTAAAATACAAAAATTAGTTGGGTATGGCCGTGTGTCCTGTAATCCCAGCTACTCGGGAGGCTGAGAGAGGAGAATCACTTGAACCTGGGAGGCAGAGGTTTCAGTTAGCCAGGATCGCGCCATTGTACTCCAGCCTGGGCAACAGAACGAGACTGTCTCAAAAACAACAACAACGCCGGGCGCGGTGGCTCAAGCCTGTAATCCCAGCACTTTGGGAGGCCGAGGCGGGTGGATCACGAGGTCTAGAGATCGAGACCATCCTGGTCAACATGGTGAAACCCCGTCTCTACTAAAAATACAAAAAACTAGCTGGGCGTGGTGGCGTGTACCTGTAATCCCAGCTACTTAGGAGACTGAGGCAGGAGAATTGCCTGAACCCAGGAGGCGGAAGTTGCGGTGAGCCGAGATCGCGCCATTGCACTCCAGCCTGGGTAACAAGAGCGAAACTCTGTCTTAAACAACAACAACAACAACAACAACAAACAAACAAAAAACCCAAAAATTATTAGCTGGGGGTGGTGGCATGCTCCTGTAATCCCAGCTACTTGGGAGGCTGAGGCAGGAGAATTGCTTGAACCCGGGAGGCAGAGGTTGCAGTGAGCTGAGATCACACCACTGCACTCCAGCCTGGGCAAGAGAGTGAGACCCTGTATCAAAAAAAATAAATAAATAAACAAAAAGAAAAAAGGGTGGAATATTTAGATGACGGTGTAGGTCTGAATCGGAATGACTGTGTATGTGCATGCATTCTCTCTGGCAAGGTTTGGTGTTGGCCAAAAATGAAAGAGGGTGGGTGGTCCTGCAGAAGATACTCATTTCTCCAGAAGAAATCCATGATGTTTTCAGAAGCACCTGCTGCACAAGTCCCTCATACTTCCCCTCCTTGGTGACATGTGGCGTTACATGGTTCCCCACAGATGGGCAACCCATTGCTCATTGCACATAGTCTATCCCTGGTCTAACCTAAATCCTTCTTGCTGCAGTGACACCTGATACCAGTTGGAAAGTGGGGCAGTCTGTTTCAGGCAGGCCCCAACGCATCTTTGCACATCTCAACTTTAAGAATACCCAACTCAGAGTCTACCTGTCCATGGCAGGTTTTCTCAGCTCTGTCCCTGAATTACAGCCACCTGATTACTTCAGGAACCTGGGGAGACACACAGACTGGAGCAGTTGTGACCATTTTCTCAAAGATGCTCTTTCTTCTGGGCTTTGAGTCTTCACTTCAGCTGGGTGTTGGGGAGGTGTGGGGAGAAAATGAAAATTCAGGAATGGAAGCTGGGAGTGGAGGCTCATGCCTGTAATCCCAGTACTTTGGGACTGATGCTGAGGCTGGCCAATCGCTTGAGCTCAGAAATTCATGACCAGCCTGGCCAACATGATGACACCCTGTCTCTACAAAAAATAGAAAAATTAGCCGGGCATGGTAGTGTGCACCTGTGGAGGCTGAGGTGGGAGGATCGCTTGAGCCTGGGAGGCAGAAGTTGCAGTGAGCCAAGATTGCATCACTGCACTCCAGCCTGGGTGACAGAGCAAGATCTTGTCTCCAAAAAATAAATAAGTAAATACATTCAGAAGCGAAAGGGAGAAAATGAGGGGAAAAAAGAAGTAAAACACCAAGTCAGAGAGTGCCCCACTGAGGGGATGGGAAAGTGCATTTTGCTCACGTCCTATCCATCAATTGGACCTCCCCAGACAGGGAAGTCAGCCAGGGGACTGAGCAACAGACATGGAGGGAAGGTAGAGGTTGGTGCTGTATGCAGCCAGGATGAAAAAGGAATTGACATTTCTGCTCCTTTGGCTGACCTGTTGGGAAATCCTGAAGGTCACAGTTGGGAAGGTGTGAACATGTAATTAGAACATTCCTCAATGTTATTCACATACCTCCTTCATGATTTGCAGCATATCTGTGTCCTACCTGGATTATACATATATATTTATAATTTAATTTATGTATTTATTTTGAGACAGAGTTTCACTATTGTTGCCCAGGCTGGAGTGCAATGGCCGTAATCTCAGCTCACTGCAACCTCTGCCTCCCAGGTTCAAGCGATTCTCCTGCCTCAGCATTCGGTGTAGCTGGGATTATAGCATGTGCCACCATGCCCAGCTAATTTTGTATTTGTAGTAGGGGTTTCTCCATGTTGGTCAGATTGGTCTTGAACTCCCGACCTCAAGTGATCCACTCACCTTGGCCTCCCGAAGTTCTGGGATTACAGGCGTGAGTCATAGCCCCTGGCAGCATTAATATTTTTCTTTTTTTCTTTTTTTTTGAGACAGAATTTCACTCGTTACCCAGACTGGAGTGCAATGGTGCAATCTCAGCTCACTGCAACCTCTGGCTCCCGGGTTCAAGCGATTCTCCTGCCTCAGCCTCCCTAATAGCTGGGATTACAGGTGCCCATCACCACACCTGGCTAATTTTTTTTTTTTTTTTTTTGGTATATTTAGTAGAGATGGGGTTTTACCATGTTGGTCAGGCTAATCTCGAATTCCTGACCTCAGATGATCTACCTGCCTCAGTCTTCCAAAGTGCTGGGATTACAGGCGTGAGTCATTACATCTGGACCACATTTTTCTTTTTAAAAATTTTAAGACGGGGTTTCACCATGTTGGTCAGTCTGGTCTTGAACTCCCAACCTCAGGTGATCTGCCCGCCTTGGCCTCCAAAGTGCTTGGTTTACAGTGGACCATATTTTTCTAATCAATTATTTTTTACTTAACATTGACATCTAAAGGAAATTTTATGTGAATATCATATGAAACAGCACACCTATAAAGTCGCAGTTTCAGTAGGTTAGTTTTATTTTTTATACATCAACATAGAAACCTGTCTATTCAAGGTAAAGCAAATGTTTTTCCAGGTCCCATTTTAAACTGTCTTACAGGAGTAACAGTGACCCAGGGGACTGGTGTTCAGTTTGCTTTTTTCAGAGGTGCCTCCTGTTCCAGAGGCTACTCAGCCCCACTTTGAGCCAGAGAGACTCCCTTTTAATCTAGTTTCTATACTGGGTTACACGTAAAAGTTTGTATAACAAAAAACAATTCCACATCTAAAAACATAATAATTGAAAAACTGCTCGCCTAGTCTGACTGTGCAACTGAGATATAACCAGGGTCAGGAAGGAGAAGTGGCTGTCTTGGATCACACAACAGTTAGAAGCAAAGCCCAGCCTAGAACCCCAGTCGGCAGGCCCCCAGTTCTTGCCAGAGACAGAGAAAAGTTTTCTCCATCTTTTAAAGAGAAACAGCCAGCTTATGGCGGGAATTGTGGAAGGTCCATCCTGGGGGATGTGGATGGAGAGGGAGGATTTTTGGGGGAACGGTGGGTTGGCAGCAGGGGGTCCCAGAGCAGCACCCAGACAGAGCTGAAACAGCCCCTTTAAGCACAGCCAACTCTTCCAAAGGCAGGAAGACCACGGCCTGTAGCATGTTTGCTACCATTTTTCCTGCCGACATCAATGGTGAGGCTGCCTTGGGGAGGAGGAGGCCAGGATCCTCCCGGCGAACGCTCCTGAGCTTCCTGGGGGTTATAGAATTATTGCCGCCCCCTGATCCCCAACTCTCCGGCCTTTTCTTCAGTCTCATCACCTTCCCTGCCCTGCCTCCCCCGGTCTTTGTGTTCTCATTGCTGATTTGGGCTGTGGGACCCTCACCCCTCAGTTGGCTCCTGTTTCCAACTGAGAACACCTGGAGACTGTGGGAGCCCCACAACCACCCAGCCAAGGCATAGTCCTCCCGGGAGCAGCTGAAGGGGAAAAGTAACCGGCTTTCCTTCACCATCCCAGGAATCTGCCGGAATGGACTATGTCCTGTTGGTCACTTCAGACCCAGCAGCCCTTTCCCAACCCCACTCAGCCCTGAACAGGGGATGCCAGGGAGTCTATGCCAGGGGAAGAGTGGGTATGAGCAGGCTGAGCCAGGGACCTTCCCACAACCCGGGAAACCAGGGTCGTGGAGCGACCCCAGACCCCTCAGAACATGGCACTTTTCCGTCTCTGCTGAGCGAGCCAGCTGCTGGGATTCATGTCCATCTGCAGCATCTTCATCACCCACTTGTCCCGACGGGCACCTTCAACAAACTCGTTCAGAGACAGCTGGCCTGAGCAAGGGGGAGGAGAGGTGGTCATTCGGAAGAAGGGGAGAGCTGGGTTTGGGGGTAAGAGGAGAGAACTCGCTCCTGGGAGTGCCTACACCTTTTTTTTTTTTTTTTTGAGACAGAGTTTCGCTCTTGTTACCCAGGCTGGAGTGCAATGGTGCGATCTCGGCTCACCGCAACCTCCGCCTTCTGGGTTCAGGCAATTCTCCTGCCTCAGACTCCTGAGTAGCTGGGATTACAGGCATGTGCCACCATGCCCAGCTAATTTTTCTGTATTTTTAGTAGAGACGGGGTTTCACCATGTTGACCAGTATGGTCTCGATCTCTTGACCTTGTGATCCACCCGCCTCGGCCTCCCAAAGTGCTGGGATTACAAGCTTGAGCCACTGCGCCCGGCCCAAGAGTGCCTACACCTCTTATGCCAACTATCCTGCAGTCTCAGGCCCCAAGCTTTTGGCTTGTCAGGTGTCTGAGTCTCCAGGAGTCTCCTGCCACCTTTAAGGGCTGTTCTTTGCAGATGAATTGAAGTTTTACTTTTGCCCATGGTACCTCAGAAATACTGGGTGGAGCTGAGCTATGTGGAGGGCTCACGTGTGTATTCCAAGCCAGTTCTCCCCCCACCCAGCCTTGTGGCTCGATGCTGGGTCACAGAGAGGAGAGCCCAGGGAACCTGAATGGAAGCCTACACGGTGCCTGCTCTTAAACACATTATCCCATTAATTCCTCTCAACTGCCATTACTAGCCCCATTTTCCAGATGAGGAAAATGAGACCAGGGTGAGAAGCTCAATGTATCGCTCTCTGCCTGACTCCGAAGTTCCTCTTCTTTCTATTCTGCGTGCCTGGCCTGCACCAGCAACTCCTATAGGACTTTTAGTCACTCCTACAAACACGTGCTCATGTCATCTTCTCCACAGCCTTCTCACAGATGAGGACCCCAGGGTTGGGAGGTGGAGGGCCTTGCCCAAGGACGTGTGGCCAGAAAGTGGCGGTGATGCAGAGTGGGCAGCCCTCCCCCAACCATCTCTGCCCCTCTTACCATCTCCATTCTCATCCACCAGGAGGAAGATCCTGTCCACGACCTCCTCAGGCGTGAGCAGCTGGCCTTGCTCAGATTGTAGCTCTCGCCGGCAGGCTTTCTTCAGCTGGTAAATTCCCTGCCAAAGAAAACCCAGCTGTATTGATGGGAGACCCTGCAGGCTCCACCATTACCCCAGTGACCCACATGCCTCAGCACCACCTCCCCAGTGCTGGCTTCCCAGGCTGTGCATCTTAGGATCACATAATCCGGATCCAGACCAAAACTGACCTGTCCTAAGACTGTGCTCTCAGAATCTCACTGACCTAATTCCAGCTGAGTTCCTGGCCTCACACCCCACCTGACCCCAACACCATTTGTATTTTCACAGTGAGCCGAAAATCCCAAATCCAAAACCTCTAATGAGGGAGGTTTAGGTCACCATGACAGTCTAAATCATGTTCTACACAGGAAGAAATAGAGACGCAGAGAAGAAAATTCAGTTTATCTATATATGTGTGTGTCTGTACATGTGTAAAGCAGAATGATGGGGATACACATGTTCCCTCCCCATGGACCAGAGGGAAAAATCCAGGTTTCTCCTTTGCCTTGTTTCCTCTCCTGGTGATAATATGTTTGTGAAAGCACCATGTAGACTGTGGCTCACGCCTGTAATCCCAGCACTTTGGGAACCCAAGGAGGGCAGATTATTTGAGATCAGGAGTTCAAGACCAGTCTGGCCAACATGGTGAAACCCTGTCTCTACTAAAAATACAAAAATTAGCCAGGAGTGGTGGTGGGCACCTGTTGTCCCAGCTATTCTCCTGCCTCAGGGGGCTGAGGCAGGAGAATCTCTTGAACCCAGGAGGCAGAGGTTACAGTGAGCTGAGATCGAGCCACTGCACTCCAGCCTAAGCGACAGAGGGGGACTCTGTCTCCTCAATAAATAAATAAATAAATAATAAAAAAAGAAAGCCCCATGTAAATGCAGAAGAGATGGGCACATATGATGGTTCTCCTTAGCTTCCAGGCTGGCACTCCCTGAGGACAGAGGCTATGTCTTTTTTTTTTTTTTAAAGAGATGGGGTTTCACCATGTTGGCCAGGATGGTCTCAATCTCTTTTTTTTATTTGAGACGGAGTTTCGCTCTTGTTACCCAGGCTGGAATGCAATGGCGCAATCTTGGCTCACCGCAACCTCCGCCTCCTGGGTTCAGGCAATTCTCCTGCCTCAGCCTCCTGAGTAGCTGGGATTACAGGCAGGCGCCACCATGCCCAGCTAATGTTTTGTATTTTTAGTAGAGACGGGGTTTCACCGTGTTGACCAGGATGGTCTCGATCTCTTGACCTCGTGATCCACCCGCCTCGGCCTCCCAAAGTGCTGGGATTACAGGCTTGAGCCACTGCGCCCGGCCTTTTTTTTTTTTTTTTTTTAAAGAAGAAATGTGCCTGTAATCCCAGCACTTTGGGAGCCCGAGGCAGGCAGATCACGAGGTCAAGAGATCGAGACTATCCTGGCCAACATGGTGAAACCCCGTCTCTACTAAAAATACAAAAAAAATTAGTTGGGCGTGGTGGCGTGCGCCTGTAGTCCCAGCTACCCAGGAGGCTGAGGCAGGAGAATTGCTTGAACCCAGGAGGCGGAGGTTGCAGTGAGCCGAGATCCCCACTGCACTCCAGCCTGGTGCCTGGTGACAGAGTGAGACTCTGTCTCAAAAAAAAAAAAAAAAAAAAAAAAAAGGAGAAGAAGAAGAAACATGATGATCATACAAGTAGACTCCAACCACCAGGTTTATTTTCATGCTGTAAATAAAGTTCCTTATTGTTCCCATTTTCTGTTATACATGAGATACAGAGAACCAGAAATTTGCTTGGTGAATAATCAACTGTTTTACATACCCAAATATCAATGAGATAATAAGCGAGACTTGTAAAGCACTGAAACCAGGGCTAACAGCAACACAATCCACTATCAAAGGATTTTAATGCCAGAACTCTGAAACATTCTCTGTTGGTGCTGGGACAGTCTGGCTGACAATTAATGTCCACTCTAGCACCGAGAGCTGGACACTTGTGATTTCTGTTTGCCTTCCCTGGCATGGATCCCAGATCTGTTTCATGAGCAGAGTAACCACGGAAGAGGCTTCTCTGATGGAAAGTTGGTTTTAAGTCAGAAATCTGGAGAGATGTCTTGACGGGCAGCAGCCACCGTGAGCCTAGGCCTTTGCAGGGCAAAGTGTCACTGTCTGGTGTGCCAGTGCGTGCCCATGCTGCATTGAGTGGGCTTGGCTGCTGTGGTCGGCTTGTCCTTTAGTGGTCTGCAGACCGTGTGCAGGTATCTCGAGGAGTTTGTTGCTGGGAGTGTATGGGAAAGGGGAGGAGAAAAGGGCATCACATTTGTCCAATCACTGGAGGATGAAGAGGGTCACTGAGTGAATGATGGTTGGGACTAGAGTTGCCTGTCTTCAGCCACTGCCTGTCCCGCATGTGGGCTGGCCTTTGACAGCCTGGCTGCGAGGGTGTTTATAAAATGCTTGGCCTACACAGGGCCAGGGAGAAGATGACCCCAAGGAGGCCACGGCGTCGTAGGAGAGGGCCAGCGTCTGCCACTAAGAAGAGTTGCAAGGGCTGTGCCTACTTCTGCCCGGACACCAAGACCGCCAGCTCCTGGATGGACATGTCCTTGTCGACATAACGGTCGTACTGAGCAGGGGTCATCCCGCCGCTCTGCAGGGCCTCTTCCATGGAGAACCTCTCGCCAGACTTCCTGTGGCGTATCAGGGAGGACTCCCCGTTGAGACCCTTCACCGAGATCTCCCAGTCACACTCCTGGCTTTTGAGTTTCACAAGCATGTTCCAGGGGATGAGGCCAGCGCGATGGGCGTCCTCCGGGGACAGCTCGCGGCCCATGGCGCGGTGGATGACCACGACGGCGCCGCAGGTGGTTCTCCCGCTGCTCCCGCTTGACCGCCACGGAGCCCAGGCGCTTCCGCAGCTCGTCGATCTCGAGGTGTTTGTCCTTGGAGAGCCCCTTGAGGTTGTCCAGTTCCCTCTCCAGGGACCGCAGTCTGGAGTCGCGACTGGTCCCAGAGTCCGCCTCGGTCCTGTTCCGCCGGTCTCGTGTTTCCGTCGCTGAGATCGGAATTTCAGTTTCCAGTTGCAGCCTTCGGGTGTCCAGCTGCAGGTTTTGCCGCTCCAGCTGTAATTTGTGGTTCTCTTTCTTTAGAAAGTCTAGTTCCTGGGACGACTTGTTATGGAATTCCAGCTCTGAAAGCCGGGCTTCCAGCGGCTGGCTGCGGCGCTGCCCCTCCAGGCTGCTCTTGAGCCTCTGGATCTCTTGCTCAGTGTCGCCCCTCTCCAGCTCGATGTTCTCGGAAAACACCACCTTCTTGGCCTCCGCCTTCTCCAGGGCGGCCGGCTTCCTCCGCAGGGTCTCGGGCTCACCCTCCAGGAGCTGCCGCGGGAGCTGTTCTTCCTCCAGCTGGAGTCGGAGCAGGGCATGCTCGCTGGCCTGCTGCGGCACCGCCTTCTGCTTGCGGGTCACCTTCTCACGGGCCTCAGCTTCTTCCTGCTCCAGCACCGCCAGCCGCTGCACCTCGCGCTCTGCCTCCCTCCGGGCCTGCAACTCGAGCTCTGTGCGCTGGCTCTGCAGCCGTCACAGCTCCGCACGCAGCTTGTCATCTGCCGCAGCTCCACCCGAAGGAGCTCACCTCTGCCCTCAGGCCAGGCTCCTCCTTGTACCTACTTCCTGCTGCACCACTCTTTCCTTCACCCGCGGGAGCTCCTTCTCCGTCCTGGCGATCTGCTCTTCCTGGGAAGCCCTCTCCCTCTCCAGGTTCACTTAACTTCTTCTGCTCCCCCGAGAGCTTTACCCTCAGAGACCCCAACTCCTCCTTAGTTTGAGGGTCTTCCTGGAATTGGAGGATCTCCTGGACCACCTCTTTGGTCTGGACCTGGGTTTGGTGTCTTTCAGGGCCTGGATTTCCTGCTTCAGTTGGTAGATCTCTAAATCACACCTTTCCGTCAGTCTGGTCTTGACCACGATCTCCTCCCCGAGCCGCCGAAGGTCCTTCTCCATCTGGGGTCAGTCTTGTACTTAATGACTTCCTTAGTCGCCTCTACGGCCTCACTGCCCAGCCCCCTGCCCAGCACAAAGTAGGCCTCATCGACGTGTCTGGGTAGACTGAGGGGTTAAATCCAGCCCCAGCACTTCCTAGGTAGACGAAGTTGGCCGACTACAGAATCTCTATGAAACAACTACTTGCTCTGTGAAAGGGCTAGCGATGCCTGCCTCATAGTGCAGGTCTGGCCAACACAGGGAACACTCCGGAGTCTGGAATGTACTAGGCACTTCTTTCTTGATCGTTTTTGCTAATAGAGAGTGATTGTTAGTCTTTTAAAATAAATAACTGCTGATCTTCTTGACTTTTTCTCTCATGCATTTGTCTTCTACTTTACTGATTTCTGCTGTTTACTGTCTTTCTTCTACTATCTTTGGGTTTACTTTAAATTTTTTTTTTTATTTTTTATTTTTTGAGATGGAGTTTTGCTCTGTCATCCAGGCTGGAGTGCAGTGGCACAGTCTTGGCTCACTGCAACCTCTGCCTCCGGGTTCAAGTGATTCTTCTGCCTTAGCCTTCAGAGTAGATGGGATTACAGGCACGTGCCACCACGCCTGGCTAATTTTTGTGCTTTCAGTAGAGAAGGGGTTTCACCATGTTGGCCAGGCTAATCTCGAACTCCTGATCTCAGGTGATCCACCTGCCTTGGCCTCCCTAAGTGCTAGGATTACAGGCATGAGCCACCATGCCCAGCTTTTTATTTATTTGTTTATTTAGTTAGTTTTTTTAGACAGGGTTTCACTCTGTTGCCCAGGCTGGAGTGCAGTGGCACAATCACAGCTCACTGTAGCCTCAACCACGCAGGCTCAGGCAATCCTCCCACCTCAGCCTTTGGAGTAGCTGGAACAACAGGTGTGTACCACCATGCCCAGCTAATTTTTTGTATTTTTTGTAGAGATGGCATCTCACTATGTTGCCCAGACTAGTTTTGAACTCCTGAGCTCAAGTGATCCACCTACCTCAGCCTCCCAAAGTGCTGGGATTATAGGTGTGAGTCCCTGCGTCTGGCCTTAATTTACTCTTTATCTAATTTCTTGAGATGGCTTCTTAGATCATTGATTTTCTAATATATAAAGTCTTACTTTCTAATATAATATGCATTTTCTAATTACTTCCTAATATATATTTTTTGTTTTCTATTCTTTCTTTTTTGAGACAGGGTCTTACTTTGTTGTCCCAGCTGGAACATAGTGGCATGATCATAGCTTACTGAAGCCTCCAATTCCTGGCTCAAGCAATCCTCCCACCTCAGCCTCCCAAGTAGCTAGGACTACAGGCATCTGCCTCTAAACCTGGCTAATTTTTCTTTTTTTTAGAGATGGGGTCTTGCAGCAGGGTGCGGTGGCTCATGCCTGTAATCCCAGCACTTTGGGAGGCTGAGGCGGGGGATCACGAGGTCAGGAGTTCAAGACCAGCCTGGCCAACATGGTGAAACCCCATCTCTACTAGAAATACAAAAACTAGCCAGGCATAGCGGCACACACCTGTAGTCCCAGCTACTCAGGAGACTAAGGCAGAAGAATCACTTGAACCCAGGAGGTGGAGGTTGCAGTGAGCTTAGATTGCGCGACTACACTCCAGCTGGGTGACAGAGTGAGACTCCACCTCAAAAAAAAAAAAAAAAAAAAAAAAATTACCCAGGTGTGGTGGTGGGCGCCTGTAATTCCAGCTACTCCAGAGGCTAAGGCAGGAGAATTGCTTGAACCCAGGAGGCAGAGGCTGCAGTGAGCTGAGATTGAGCCATTGCACTCCAGTCTGGACAGTAAGAGCCAAACTCTGTCTCAAAAAAAAAAAGGGGGGCATCTTGCTTTGTTTTCCAGGTTGATCTTGAACTCCTGGGCTCAAGCAATGCTCCCACTTCAGCCTCCCAAAGTGCTGGGATTACAGGAGTAAGCCACTGCACCCAGCCTCTGTTTCCTAATATATATATATATATATATATATATATATATATATATATATTTTTTTTTTTTTTTTTTTTGAGACGGAGTTTCGCTCTTGTTACCCAGGCTGGAGTGCAATGGCGCAATCTTGGCTCACTGCAATCTCCGCCTCCTGGGTTCAGGCAATTCTCCTGCCTCAGCCTACTGAGTAGCTGGGATTACAGACACACACCACCATGCCCAGCTGATTTTTTGTATTTTTAGTAGAGACGGGGTTTCACCATGTTGACCAGGATGGTCTCAATCTCTTGACCTTGTGATCCACCCGCCCTGGCCTCCCAAAGTGCTGGGATTACAGGCATGAGCCACCGTGCCTGGCCTTAATATATGCATTTTAAGTCTCATTTTCTAATATGTACATTTAAAATCTATAAATTCCTCTGCAATTCCAGCTTTAGCTGCATTTCACAAGTTGTGGTATATCATGCTTGCATTATTTTTTCAATTTATGATACTTGGTGTGTGTGTGTGTGTGTGTGTGTGTGTGTGTGTGTGTGTGTGTGTGTAAGAGACAGAGAGAGAGAGAGAAAGACAGAGAGAGAGAAAGGAGAAAATTTCTTTGATCCATGGCGTATTTGGAAGTATACGCTCTAATTTCCAAACAGATGGGGATTTTCTAATAATCTTTTTGTGATTGATTTCTAGCTTAATTCCACTAGAAATTACACACTCTGAATGAAAGCACAGGAAACACACTCAGAATGATTTCAGGCCTCTTCAGTCCCCGCTGGCCACTTGTGGCCAACCCTCAGAGTCCAGCAGTGCTCAAGTGCCCATGGGCAGAGACACTAACCTCCACAATGTTGAGTAGCTCCACGCGGTCGATACAGCCATTGCCGTCCTTATCATAGATCTTGAAGGTCCACTTCAGCTTGTGCTCCAGGGTGCCCCTCAGCACAAGATTCAGGGCTGCCACATACTCCAGGAAGTCGATGGTGTTGTCCTGCATTAGGTATGGATGCTGCTGAGGCCACAGCCCACCTCCCCAGAGCATAGGTGTGAGCCCTATTTAAGGCCATTCATCCCTGCAAACACAGGACTTCTCCTCCTTGCAATCCATGTGGCCTCTGCATCTTTTTTCAAGCCTTTTCCCACCCTTGGGGTGAAGAACATTCTCCCATCTCTCTCTCTCTCTCTCTCTCTTTCTCTCTCTCTCTCTCTCTCTCCCCCTCTTATCTATCTATCTATCATCTATTTTTTTTTTTTTTTTTAAAGATGGAGTTTCACTCTTGTGGCCCAGGCTCAAGTGCAATGGCATGATCTCAGCTCACCACAACCTCTGCCTCCCAGGTTCAAGTTATTCTCCTGCCTCAGCCTCCTGAGTAGCTGGGATTACAGGTATGCGCCACCACACCTGGCTAATTTTTCATTTTTAGTAGAGATGGGGTTTCTCCATGTTGGCCAGGGTGGTCTTGAACTCCTGACCTCAGGTGATCTGCCCACCTTGGCCTCCCAAAATGCTGGGATTACAGGTGCAAGCCACTGCATCCTGCTATCTATTTATTTTTAGAAACAGGGTCTCGCGGCCAGGCACAGTGGCTCACACCTGTAATCCCAGCACTTTGGGAGGCGGAGGCGGGTGGATTACGAGGTCAGGAGATCAAGACCAGTCTGGCCAAGATGCTGAAACCCCATCTCTACTAAAAATACAAAAATTAGCCAGATAATTCCAGCTACTCGGGAGGCAGGAGAATCACTTGAACCTAGTGGCAGAGGTTGCAGTGAGTGGAGATGGAACCACTGCACTCCAGCCTGGGTGACAGAGCAAGACTCCATCTCAAAAAAAAAAAAAAAAAAAGGCAAAGTCTCACTATGTTATCCAGGCTGGTCTCATACTTTTGGGTTCAAGTGATCCTCCTGTCTTGGCCTTCTAAAGCGTTTGGATTCCAGGCATGAGCCACAACACCCAGCATAGAGAACATTCTCTCTTCTCATTTTCTGTGATCACCCAAGCCTACCCATCCTTCAAGGCTGAGCTCAAAGGGCCCCTCCTCCAGGAAGCCTTCATTCTCTGACCTCTTCAGCCATAGTTCTCTCTCCTTCCCCATTCTAATATCCATAGCATCTATTGTCTATTCTGCAGAGCTTGGGACTTTCTCTGGCAATGTCCCATAACTGTTTCCTAAATATGTCTCATTCTCTAACCATGTTATATGCTCCTGGGGAAAAGAGAGGGGTTGACATTGCTTGGGTTTCTCTTCCATGCCTAGCACAGTGCCACTTACCGCCAAAGTTGGGGGCCAATAGATTTAATGAATCAGCGAGTCAATGATGGGCTTGATCTGAATTTGAACTAAGACAGTTTTTTTTTTTTTTTTTTTTTTTTTATGAGAGGGAGTTTCGCTCTTGTTACCCAGGCTGGAGTGCAATGGCGCGATCTCGGCTCACCGCAACCTCTGCCTCCTGGGCTCAGGCAATTCTCCTGCCTCAGCCTCCTGAGTAGCTGGGATTACAGGCACGCGCCACCATGCCCAGCTAATTTTTTGTATTTTTGGTAGAGACGGGGTTTCACCATGTTGACCAGGATGGTCTCGATCTCTCGACCTCGTGATCCACCCGTCTCGGCCTCCCAAAGTGCTGGGATTACAGGCTTGAGCCACCGCGCCCGGCCTGAACTAAGACAGTTTTAAAGGAGGTTAGAAAGCAGAGCCTGTGTTGAAATTTTCCTCTGCATTCTCATTCACCCCACATCAGACGGAGGCAGACAGGCAGTGGCTCCAGTCCTACCCACTTCTAGGTCCCGGTGGATGTCACACCAAACAACAGGCTTGTGCCTCCAGCCCATCCAGGAAGGGTCGGGGAGCACAGAGCTCAGGTGCTAACTGGGCAGAGGAAGCGGGAGAGGCACAGTCTACTTCTAAGGACTTCAGCAGAAAACAACAGAACCTTCTTGTATCAGAAATGCGACAGCAGGCTGGGCGCGGTGGCTCAAGCCTGTAATCCCAGCACTTTGGGAGGCCGAGGCGGGTGGATCACGAGGTCAAGAGATCGAGACCATCCTGGTCAATACGGTGAAACCCCATCTCTACCAAAAATACAAAAAAAAGTAGCTGGGCATGGTGGCACATGCCTGTAATCCCAGCTACTCAGGAGGCTGAGGCAGGAGAATTGCCTGAACCCAGGAGGCGGAGGTTGAGGTGAGCCGAGGCCGCACCATTGCACTCCAGCCTGGGTAACAAGAGCGAAACTCGGTCTCAAAAAAAAAAAAAAAAAAAAAAGAAATACGACAGCAGTAATGATTTTCAAAGCAGTAAACAAGAAGGAGGATATATTCTTGCTTTCTTCTCCAATGTGTTTGGGGCGAGAGGCTGCTGCCACCGCTGCCGATGCTGACCGCAGGGGGTTAGCTGTGCCAATGTCTCACTCACAACTGCTCACTTATTCCAGGGTCGGGACCTCCACTCTCTAAATCAAAAATCTGAGCCATCAGATCCCCCAGGATTGTGTGTCATTCACATGACTTTGTAATCAGAAATGACACTGATGGCTTAGAGCAGAGCACTCCTGTCCCACTAGGTCAGGCCACTCCTGTCCCACTAGTTCAGGCCACTCAGGAGCCCCAGCCCTGGGTGAGCCAGGTTTGAGCCACAGGAGAAAATGGCAGAAAACAAGGGAAACGGCAAGAAGCCTAAGGAAAAACTAAAAAGAAAACAAAACGAGCTGACCTTAGTACCTCAAGTGTTCTACTCACATCTTTTATATAATTCCTATAAGTAGAGGGTCTCCGTATTCCCTGTCATACTTAGATTTTATTTATTTGAGATGGAGTCTCACAGTGTCCCCCAGGCTGGAGTGTAGTGGCGATTCTCCTGCTTCAACCTCCCAAGTAGCTGGGATTACAGGCACCTGCCACCATGCCCAGCTAATTTTTTGTATTTTAGTAGAGACGGGGTTTCACTATGTTGGCCAGGCTGGTCTTGAACTCTTGACCTCGTGATCCACCTACCTTGGCCTCCCAAAGGGCTGGTATTACAGGCATGAGCCACCGTGCCCAGCCAGATTATATGTATAATTTTGTTTCATTTTCTTTTTTCTTTTATTTTTTTGAGACAGAGTCTCACTGTTGCCCAGACTGGAGTGCAGTGGCACCATCTTGGCTCACTGCAACCTCTGACCCTCAGGCTTGAGCAATTCTCCTGCCTCAGCCTCCCAAGGAGCTAGGATTACAGGCAGCTACTTTTTGCTTTTTTTTTTTTTTTTTTGAGACGGAGTTTCGCTCTTGTTACCCAGGCTGGAGTGCAATGGCGCGATCTCGGCTCACTGCAACCTCCGCAATTCTTCTGCCTCAGCCTCCTGAGTAGCTGGGATTACAGGCACGTGCCACCATGCCCAGCTAATTTTTTATATTTTTAGTAGAGACGGGGTTTCACCATGTTGACCAGGATGGTCTCGATCTCTTGACCTCGTGATCCACCCACCTCAGCCTCCCAAAGTGCTGAGATTACAGGCTTGAGCCACTGTGCCCGGCCCAATTTTTGTATTTTTAGTAGAGATGGGGTTTCACCATGTTGGCTAGGCTGGTCTTGAACTTCTGACCTCATGATCCACCTGCCTCAACCTGTCAAAGTGCTGGGATTACAAATGTTAGCCACCACACTTGGCCTGTTTCCTTCATTTTCGTGTAACATTTTCTCGTGTCTATAAAAATTATTAGGCCGGGCGCGGTGGTTCAAGCCTGTAATCCCAGCACTTTGGGAGGCCAAGGCGGGTGGATCACGAGGTCAATAGATCGAGACCATCCTGGTCAACATGGTGAAACCCTGTCTCTACTAAAAATACAAAAAAGTAGCTGGGCATGGTGGCACATGCCTGTAATCCGAGCTACTCAGGAGGCTGAGGCAGGAGAATTGCCTGAACCCAGGAGGCAAAGGTTGCAGTGAGCTGAGATTGTGCCATTGCACTCCAGCCTGGGTAACAAGAGCGAAACTCGGTCTCAAAAAAAAAAAAAAAAAAAAAAAAAAAAAAAATTGGGGCCGGGCGCGGTGGCTCAAGCCTGTAATCCCAGCACTTTGGGAGGCCGAGGTGGGTGGATCACGAGGTCGAGAGATCGAGACCAACCTGGTCAACATGGTGAAACCCCATCTCTACTAAAAATACAAAAAATTAGCTGGGCATGGTGGCGCATGCCTGTAATCCCAGCTACTCAGGAGGCTGAGGCAGGAGAATTGCCTGAACCCAGGAGGCGGAGGTTGCGGTGAGCCGAGATCGCGCCATTGCACTCCAGCCTGGGTAACAAGAGCGAAACTCCATTTCAAAAAAAAAAAAGAAAAAAAAATTATTTAAAATTTAAACTTCTGTTTTTTGTTTTGGTGGGGAGGAGGTACTGAGCATTCCCTTTTGTTGAACATATTTCTAACATTTTCCATTATACAATGAACATTTTTTTTTTTTTGCATGTAGACAGTGGTTGTCAGTTCTTTAAAAGGCTATTTTCTTTTTTTTTTTTTTTTTTTTTTTTTTTGAGACGGAGTTTCGCTCTTGTTACCCAGGCTGGAGTGCAATGGCGCGATTTCGGCTCACCGCAACCTCCGCCTCCTGGGCTCAGGCAATTCTCCTGCCTCAGCCTCCTGAGTAGCTGGGATTATAGGCACGCGCCACCATGCCCAGCTAATTTTTTGTATTTTTAGTAGAGACGGGGTTTCACCATGTTGACCAGGATGGTCTCGATCTCTCGACCTCGTGATCCACCCGCCTCAGCCTCCCAAAGTGCTGGGATTACAGGCTTGAGCCACCGCGCCCGGCTAAAAAGGCTATTTTCTTGAGTAGTTGTTATTTATTAAGCTTACCACAAATCAATTTGTGTTTCTCATTTGATGAGAATGAGTTATTATCCTCATTTTATGGATGAGGAGCGTGAGACCCAGAGGTGCCCACGCCACCCAGCCGGCAAGTGGCAGAGCTTTTGCAGGCATGTATCTCCTCCCATTCATTAAGTCAGAAACACTTCCAGTCTCCAATTAAGATCTATTTCTGTCTAGCAAATGAGCCTAGTGCTTGGTGGTGCCAAGAGGAGAAACACAAACAAAAAAAACCCCTAAAACTGCTCACAAATCCCCACTCTTTTGATCTCGAGTCTCCCTCATTCTTTGTCCGGAAACTTCTCCTACAATATCCTCTCTCAGCATGATCCAGTTTCCATGACCCCTTGCCTTATATGAGACATATTCCAGCGTGATCTCTAGACAAGTGATCTCATCTGAGAGGTTACTGGAAACCCCAGGACCATTTCTGGGAAACTTCCAGCTGGGACTAATCTCATCTGCTGTGCATGGGTCATTGCCAGCTCCAATTACCCACAAAAGCCTGAGAGTGATGAAAATGACTGTCTACTCAGGAATAGGATGGGCGTGTTACCGGCTCTCTGGGATTATCTGCCCCGATTCTTCCTGAATTGGCCACATTTGTGCACCAGCCCTGACCTCAGTGCATGTTACATAAGAATCCCAAATGACATTTGATCTTCACCCTCCCCTTTCTTCCATTCCAGGAGGTCATAGGGCAACATGTGAATTGCAAGGGAGAGTGGCAGAAATGAGGTGTTCCTATGTTCCTACCCCTTTGTCTCCACCAAACCAGTTTCCATCACCTCAGATTTTCACGTGCGAACTAGATCTATAATCTCTTCTGGTTCGATTTGCTTTAGAAATCTCAGACTGGGCCGGGCACAGTGGCTCAAGCCTGTAATCCCAGCACTTTGGGAGGCCGAGGCGGGTGGATCACGAGGTCAAGAGATCGAGACCATCCAGGTCAACATAGTGAAACCCCGTCTCTACTAAAAATACAAAAAAATCAGCTGGGCATGGTGGTGCGTGCCTGTAATCCCAGCTACTCAGGAGGCTGAGGTAGGAGAATTGCCTGAACCCAGGAGGCGGAGGTTGCGGTGAGCCGAGATCGCGCCATTGCACTCCAGCCTGGGTAACAAAAGCAAAACTCCATCTCAAAAAAAAAAAAAAAAAAAAAAAAAAAGAAATCTCAGACTGATTGTTCAGAAATGAAATTCCTTGATATAATGGTGGGGAATAGAGTCAGTTGTAGGTCTGGAGACAAAGACTAAGTGGGAATGAAGGCTCCGTCCCTGAGAGAGGAAGTTGAAAACACTTCCTAGGGAGGCTCTTCCTTACAGTGGAATGCCAACTAATAAACAGAGAAGGGGTGGTGGGGTCAGAGAATTATCAACAGATGCCAAAGCCAGTAGAAAATTTGACTGAACAATAGGACATTTGCTTAGTCTCAAGGTATATCCCTACAAGATGCTATTTTTTTTTTTTTTTTTTTTTTTTTTTTTGAGACGGAGTTTCACTCTTGTTACCCAGGCTGGAGTGCAATGGTGCGATCTCGGCTCACCGCAACCTCTACCTCCCGGGTTCAGGCAATTCTCCTGCCTCAGCCTCCTGAGTAGCTGGGATTATAGGCACGCGCCACCATGCCCAGCTAATTTTTGTATTTTTAGTAGAGACGGGGTTTCACCATGTTGACCAGGATGGTCTCGATCTCTCGACCTCGTGATCCACCCGCCTCGGCCTCCCAAAGTGCTGGGATTACAAGCTTGAGCCACCGCGCCCGGCCAAGATGCTTTTTAATTACAAAGAAAAAGAATAGTAACTTTACAATGTTGAAACGTGGCAGATACCATCTTAACCAAGCGATCAAAGTTAACTACACCAGCGACGGGACAAAATGACATCTTGTAGCTGATGATATGACGCACCAAGGACACAACATCGAATCAACGGCAATTCTATCAATTTAGACAAACGCCAACGGTGGGGTGTCCTACGACATAATTGAGCTGCAGTCTTTAAAAATGTCACAGTCAAATAAAAAAGAAAAGCTGAGATTAATGGTTCCAAGTTAAAGAAGACTAAGGAGATACTAGTAAATGCAATGTATGATCACACCAAAAAAAAAAAAAAAAAAAAAGGAAGGCTGGGCACAGTGGCTCAGGCCTGTAATCCCCAGCACTTTGGGAGGCAGAGGCAGGTGGATCACAAGGTCAAGAGATCAAGACCAGCCTCATCAATATGGTGAAATCCCCTCTACTAAAAATACAAAAATTAGCTGGATGTGGTGGCATGCACCTGTAGTCCCAGCTGCTTGGGAGGCTGAGGCAGGAGAACTGCTTGAACCTGGGAGGCAGAGGTTGCAGTGAGCTGAGATCACGCCACGACACCCCAGCCTGGGGACAGAGTGAGACTGCGTCTCCAAAAAAAAAGAAAGCTGGTCAGATGCGGTGGCAAATGTCTATAATCCCAGCACTCTAGGAGGCTGAGGTATGCGGATCACTTCAGGTCAGGAGTTTGACACCTGGCTGGTCAACACGGTGAAACCCTGTCTCTACTAAAAATACAAAAATTAGCCAGTTATGGGAGTCTACACCTGTAATCCTAGCTACTTGGGAGGCTGAGGCACGAGAATTGCTTGAACCCAGGAGGCAGAGATCACAGTGAGCTGAGATTGTGACACTGTACTCCAGCCTGGGCAACATGGCAAGATTCCATCTCTACCAAAAAAAAAAAAAACAACAACCACCAAAAAAAACCAAAGAAACAAACATTAGCAGGCCTGATGGTGTGCACCTGTAATCCCAGCTACTTGAGAGGTTGAGGTGGGAGGATCCCCTGAGCCTGGGAAATTGAGGCTGCAAAGAGCTGAGATCATGCCACTGTACTACAGCCTGAATGACAGAGTGAATCCCTGTCTCAAAAACAAAAAAGAAAAAGAAAATGCACACTGAACTACTTAGGGGTCAAAGGACATGATAACTATAGCTTTCTTTTTTTAAAAAAAGTGTATATATACATTATGTATATGTATAATTATGTGTCACATATATGTATATATACTTACAGGATATATTATATATATGTATACAGAGAGAGAGAATGATAAAGTAAATGAGATAAAATGTAAATAATGGGGAATTTGGATAATTGCACATGGGAGTTGCTTGTATCATTCTGATAACTTTTCTGTAAATTTAGAATCATAGCAAAATTAAAAAGTTACTCAAAAAGGAAAAAACATTGATGAACATGACATGCTGATTTCTAAGAAGAGAGGAGGTATAAGCAGTACAACTATATGGCCAGGGGCTTAATCAGCCCCTTTGGATCTTGAATCATGACTGTATTGATTTTTAGATGAATCTGGCGAAGACTGGTAGACTTAACTGAGTCTTACTGTTTATGAACTGATACATTTGTTTACTTTTCCTATGACATTTAAAAAATCATCAATTTTAAAAAATCATCTCTCTTTAAAAAACCTGCCTCGGCCGGGCGCGGTGGCTCAAGCCTGTAATCCCAGCACTTTGGGAGGCCGAGGTGGGCGGATCACGAGGTCAAGAGATCGAGACCATCCTGGTCAACATGGTGAAACCCCGTCTCTACTAAAAATACAAAAAATTAGCGGGGCATGGTGGCGCGTGCCTGTAATCCCAGCTACTCAGGAGGCTGAGGCAGGAGAATTGCCTGAACCCAGGAGGTGGAGGTTGCGGTGAGCCGAGATCACGCCATTGCACTCCAGCCTAGGTAACAAGAGCGAAACTCCGTCTCAAAAAAAAAAAAAACAAAAAACAAAACAAAAAAAACCTGCCTTCTAGACAGGGGCCCTTAAGACCTTGGGCAAATCCATTCATTTCCTTTTGCCCAGCTTTTCTCATCATTTAATTTAGAATAACAAAAGTCTAACTCTCCCACCCAGGGTTGCTGCTGACTCAGAGGAGACTGAGGAGAGGGGAGCTCTGTGAAGCTGGAGAAACTGGCTCTATGCCCTGTGGGGTGGTTGATGGGGTTCAGCTCTGAGGAGGTTCTGTTGAAGTGAAGATGCTGACCTCACCCTCCTGTCCTGGGACAGGCACTGACTGGTGCCAGCGACAGGGTCAGACCTGAGGTGGCATTCCCAATGATTCAGTTTAGAAAGTTAAGTTCTCCACACACTGAGAAGCAGAGTACTGATGCTTTCTCCAGATCCAGTGGTTTAAAGGATTGCCAGATCACTGAACTGGATAACCTTAAATAATCAAGGAGTTTTTTTTAACTGAATTGAAATTTAAAATGCAATCCCCAGGTGCATTTACAAGATGTGTTATCTTCTTAGCTGCTAGTGACATTGGGAGCTTAGAGAAACTGGTTTGAATGATTTCATGAAACCTTCCAGGACTTGAAGTGCTGAAAGGGGTGATTGCAGCCATCCATTCAGCCTCCCAATCAGTGCAGAGGCTCCTCCAGCATTCTTGTCAGGGAGGATCTGACTACTCTCAGTTCAAAGGACCTCAACAAGAGGGAGCTCAGGGCCCATACTAAGATACCTTGTCCCGGACTGTCTGCCAGTCTACCTTCAGCTTTGAAGAAGAGGACGCAGGGTGCATCAGCCTACGGCTGAGAGACGGAGGGAGGGAAGGAGAGACAGAGAAGACAGAAACGGACAAAATGAAGAGAGGAGACAGGAGAGTTTGGGGAGTGAGACAGAACAGGTAAAGAGAGATGGAGAGAAAAGATGAGCAGAGGAAGAGTGGAGGAGTGGGGAACTGGGAGCTCTTCCTGAGGACACTTGTGGAGGAAGGCGCCAGGTGGACTGGCCACTGGTCCTTCCCTTCAGGGTGCCTTACCCCATTTTTGTCGAAGGCTCGGAACATGCCCTCTACATACTGGGAGGCTTCCTCATCTTCCGTGACTCTGAAGAAGCGCTTAAACTCATGCATAAAGAGCGTGCCGCTGGGGCACTCCATCACGAACTTCTTGTACCACTCCTGGAGCTCCGCCACATCTATCTCGCCAGCTGACTCTGCCTCCTCCCAGCTAAACTCCTGCCCCATGTTGGCCCTGAGGGGTGTCAGGGAGCAAGGGTTTGTGTCTCCTCCTCAGCCTCTGCTGATGGAGCTCTCCAGCTAGGGCCCTCTTCCTCCCTTTCCAGGAGGCCTGACCAGCCTCTCCATCGTCTCCTGGGTGACTGAACATGACCGTCAGCGCAGGAGGCAGGTGGCAAGGGAGGTGGGTCCAAGCCAGCTAAGCCGCTCTAAGACTATTAGAAGATGCCCTGGAAAGACTGGGCATGGTGGCTCATGCCAGTAATCCCAGCACTTTGGGAGGCCGGGGTGGGTAAATCCCGAGGTCAGGAGTTTGAGACCTGCCTGGCCAACATGGTGAAACCCCATCTTTACTAAAAATACCAAAAATTAGCTGGGCATGGTGGCGGGTGCCTGTAATCCCAGCTACTCAGGAGGCTGAGCCAGGAGAATCACTTGAACCCAGGAGGCAGAGGTTGCAGTGAGCTGAGATCATGCCACTGCATTCCAGCCCGGGCAACAGTTCGAGACTGTCTCAAAAAAAAAAAAAAAAAAAAAAGATTCCCAAGCAAGTTCTGACCTCTAGCCTCATTCCTCCCCTTAGCCTTGTCAACAAAGCAACCAAGCTGTCCCTGGCAGACTCTGAAGAGGTAGAAGGGGAAGAAACTGAGGTAAGCAGAGGGACATGGAGTGAAGAAAGAGTTGGGGTGCCAGGCTGGGATCCTCCCATCTCACTCATTCCCTGTCTCTTTACCTGGGCCCCACATTGTGCCAGGAGGCCCATCTTGGAGATAGGAGACTCAAGTCCAGAGAGGAAGTGAGATCAAGTCCTAGGCCACAAAACAGAACCCACTGGTGATGCGAGACTCGCCTCTCCAACTGTCTAGTGAGAAGAGGCAGAATATATAATGGGAAGGGCTGTAGGTAAGCAGCTGTGTTCCCAGGCTAACTCAGTCCCTGACACAAGATCTGAAGCTCCTTTTCAGATCATACCTTTGATCTTGGGAGCTTTTCACTTTCTGATTTAAAATACAAATGCCTCCCTCCAACCCTTCACCCAAGACCTAGGGGTAGTGCTTTTCTCACATTTCCTCCAAAATTCTAACATATGAGAAGGATCTGGGAGCATGGCCTAAAATATCTTTGAAGGCTCTTACTTTTACATTAAAGGTCATGTAAATTTCCCTTTGAACTATTACATATTCATGCTTATTTTAATGTAACATAAAAATGACACCTCCAAGAAATCAAAGACCTGGCACATACATTTTTCTTTCTCTTTGCTGTTTTTTTTTTTTTTTTTTTTTTAGATAGTGTCTCACTCTGTGGCCCAGGCTGAGTGCAGTAGTGTGATATCGGCTCACTGCAACTTCTGCCTCCTGGGTTCAAGCTATTCTCATGCTTCAGCTTCCTGAGCAGCTGCGATTACAGGTGCCCACTATGACACCTGGTTAATTTTTGTATTTTTAGTAGAGATGGGGTTTTACCATGTTGGCCAGGCTCGTCTTGAACTCCTGACCTCAAGTGATCCACCCACCTTGGCCTCCCAAAGTGCTGGGATTACAGGCATGAGCCACTGTGCCAGGCCTGGTCCTTGGTCTCTTTAGTTCCAAAGAGCTTTTCTTCCACCTGGGAGCTTGTTAGAAATGCAAAGTGTCAGGCACCACCTCAGACCTGCTGAATCAGGAACTGCTGGGTGGGGCCAGGAGTCTGTGTTTTAACAAGCCCTCCAGGTGCTTCCAATGCATACTGAAGTTTGAGGATCACCACCATAGGCCTGGCTGTCAACAATCTCTACTACCTCTGAAACATTCTAATGCTGCCTTCTCTTATTAGCACCCCACCTCTTCCATCTGTTACTCTAATACCTTCGCTCCAGTAATTCACTAATCTCATTGCGACTTCCAACCTGCTGATCTGTTTTTAACATCTGTCATCTCGCTCATCTCCTCACTCTCCTCCTTATCCTCATTCCTTGGCCCAGCATTCTTTCCATTTCGACTTCTGTGCCCCTCTCTCCCTAACAGCTCACTTGGCCTGGCCCTGGTTAAGGCTGTCTGCTAACCATGCACTAACGCCTCACCTACACTGGGGAGCCTAGACGTCGTTGGAGGACATTATAAATCATGCTGGCTGCACACACTTCAGATCATGCCAGACAATCGTACTACGTACTCTTCCTGCCGAATTCCCTCTCCCCGTCTCTGAGGACTATTCCACAGCGCTTCCTGCCCTCAAACCTTCCACTCACTCCCACACTGTCACACACTTCACAGAGACAGCTGAGGCAGTGACTCATCTTCCCACCAGTGCTTACCAACTTCTCCGTATCTGTGCCCATGTCCCCTGCCCGCTTCCGGTCTCAGTGGAAGCAGCATGCCCTTCCCCTGGTCCCTGTCAGCATTGCCACGTTTCCTAGATCACATCTCTTTACCCACTCCAAAGCTTCATTCCCGCATGCACTTCCTTTGCCTTCTGCAGCCTCCACTCATCCCTCTCTAATGGATCATTGCCGTCAGCATTCAGATATGCTATAATATTGCCTTTATTAAAACAAGGCAAGCCGGGCACGGTGGCTCACACCTGTAATCCCAACACTTTGGGAGGCTGAGGCGGGTGGATCACAAGGTCAAGAGACGGAGACCATCCTGGTCAACATGGTGAAACCCCGTCTCTACTAAAAATACAAAAATTAGCTGGGCATGGTGGCGCGCACCTGTAGTCCCAGCTACTCGGGAGGCTGAGGCAGGAGAATTGCCTGAACCCAGGAGGCAGAGGTTGTGGTGAGCTGAGATCGCACCATTGCACTCCAGCCTGGGTAACAAGAGCGAAACTCCGTCTCAAAAAAAAAAAAAAAAAAAAAAAAGGCAAAATTCCTTCCTTGACTCCACATTCAGGGCTACATTATGACGTACATGGACCCTACATGTTTTTGCCTTCATGGGACACATAATACAAATACTGAAAAAATATTACATAAGTAAATATTAACAACTATCATGGGTATAAAAAGGAACATAATCTAGACTGGATGTTTTCTATTCTAATTATTATTATTTTGAGACAGAGTCTTGCTCTGTCACCCAGGCTGGGGTGCAGAGGCATGATCTCTGCTCACTGCAACCTCCACCTCCTGGGTTCAAGTGATTCTTTTGCCTCAGCCTCCTAAGTAGCTGGGATTACAGGAATGTGCCACCACACTCAGCTAATTTTCTATTTTTAGTAGAGACAGGGTTTCACCATGTTGTTGAGGCTATCTCGAACTCCTGACCTCAAGTGATCCACCCACCTTGGCCTCCCAAAGTGCTGGGATTACAGGCATGAGTGAGCCACTGCTCCCAGCTCTGATTTTATTTTAATTAACTAATTTATTTATCTTGAGACAGGGTCTCACCCCAGCTGGCGTGCACTGGTACTATCAGGGCTCACTATAGCCTTGACCTCCTAAGCTCAAGCATTCCTTCTGCCTCAGCTTCCCGAGTATGTAGGACTACAGTTGTGCACCACTATGCTTGGTTTAAGTTTTTTATATTTAGTATAGACAAGGTCTTACTATGTTTCCCAGTCTTGAACTCCTGGGTTCATGTGATCCTCTTGCCTTGGCCTCCCAAGTGCTGAGATTATAGGCATGAGCCACCATGCTTGGCCTTTATTCTGGTTTTAAAAGAAATTAGGCACTGTGCCTACTGGGTAAGCTGATCTGCCTACATTAAGCTACTGTCCTAAATTTCGCTCCCCTTACAACAAAATCCCTTGTGGCAGATGTATTTTCAGAAATTGAAAGGACAATAGTTCTGGTTTCATTCATTCCTCCCATTAAAGGGAGGACTCTTATTTTATTTATTTATTTTTTTTTGGAGACTGAGTTTCACTCTTGTTGCCCAGGCTGGAGTGCAATGGTGCAATCTTGGCTCACCACAACCTCCGCCGCCTGGGTTCAAGCAATTCTCCTGCCTCAGACTCCCATGTAGGTAGGATTACAGGCATGTACCACCGCACCCTGGCTAATTTTTGTATTTTTAGTAGAGACAGGGTTCCTCCATGTTGGTCAGGCTGGTCGCGAACTCCCAACCTCAGGTGATCTGCCTGCCTTGGCCTCCCAAAGTGCTGGGATTACAGATGTAAGCCACTGTGCCTGGCCTGGGAGGAGTCTATTTATCTTTCTCTTCACCCTGGAAGAAACTTTCTGGCTGCCTTGTTGAAGATAATTGCAGAAATGACACAATGTGACTTCCAGGGCTAGGTCATCAAAAGTGATAGGCTTCCACCAGGCTCTCTTTCTCAGAACTTGCCCTTGAAACCCAGCCACCATGTTGTGAGGAAGCCTAGAACACATGCAGTGGTTCTGGCTGAAAGCCAGTCTCAACCACCAGACATGGGTGAGTGAGCCTTCAGATGACTCCAGCCCCAGCTTTTGAGCTACTCCAGCTGACATCACATGGAGCAAACACTATCCCTGCAGAGTCACTGTTTTTTTTTTTTTTTTTTTTTTTTTTGAGACGGAGTTTCGCTCTTGTTACCCAGGCTGGAGTGCAATGGCGCGATCTCGGCTCACCGCAACCTCCGCCTCCTGGGTTCAGGCAATTCTCCTGCCTCAGCCTCCGGAGTAGCTGGGATTACAGGCACGCGCCACCATGCTCAGCTAATTTTTTGCACCATTAGTAGAGACGGGGTTTCACCATGTTGACCAGGATGGTCTCGATCTCTCGACCTCGTGATCCACCCGCCTCGGCCTCCCAAAGTGCTGGGATTACAGGCTTGAGCCACCGCGCCCAGCAGAGTCACTGTTTTAAGCTACTAAATGTTAAGTGTTTTTTGAGGTAGCAATAGATAACTGGAACATTCTCAAATCTATTTTGCATCCTCTTCTTAGTATCTCTTATTCTCTCCTCAACTTACTCCAACTGGATGTTTATCTCCATCATTCCACAGAAAAGGCTTTTATTGTGGTCACCAATGATCTACTTTTTTAACTTAACCTGTCACAGATGCGTCACAGTTCACCAAACTCAATCCTTTCTGCAAACACTCTAGGTTTCAGGAACCCATACTCTGATTTCACTCTAACCTCACCAATTGCTCATTTTCTTTGCCAGCGTCTCTTGCTTTTAACCAAATCTCTAACAGCTGGGGTCTTTCCAGGCTTGTCTTCAGTACTCTTCCCTT